TTATTATATATTTTAAAAATTTAACCAATTGATAGCAATTTTTTAAAAATCACATTATGAAATCACGAGGAAATATTAGGTATGTAGATAACCTAACTCTTAAAAATTCGATGAATATCATATATACGTGCATTAATCAGAAATTAAATTAATTTTCATTCAGTCAATTTTTTAAAATGAAAAAATAAAATTATGTAGTTCAAACTTAGTCATGCGTTAGAAGCATAGATGCAAATAGGGGGAGGGGGGATTCAGTCCTACTAGTCATATTTTAATTTTTTCTTTACAAATATTACATTAATACGATAATAAATCCGAGGAAATGAATTTCCATTAGAGGGCTTAGTCCCCGRAAGCCCCACACGATTTGCACCTATGGTTTGAAGGAATAGCGGTAAAAAAGTCCGAGGCAAAAAAGTCCGCTGTAGAAAAGTCCTAAACCTAAAAAGTCCGGTATATATTAAATATGTATTTATATATAACAGTATTAAAAAAATAGCTGATTTAACTATCATAAAAAAATTACGTATTTAACTATTGCCAAAAAATAATATATTTAAAAAAAAAATTACTGTAGGTAACTATAATATAATGTATATGTATGTATATAACAATATAAAAAAAATAGCTTATTCAACTAACGTAAAAAAAATATGGTAAGTATCTATAATATTATAATGTATATTGTATAATATGTATACAAAATTTGATTATTACCTGCGTGTTTGTGCTCAATTTGAAGCACAGGGTTCGGTAACTCCCACGATGAAGATAGTGTTCCCAGGCAATTATTCTTAGTTTTGTTACTACATTTCCACCGTTTTGTTTTTATTAAAGTATGTTGAAGGGTATATGAATAACCACCCACAATTATTTTGGTACCCTTTTCGTTGACTTTTACTATATTTGATATTTTTTTCGAGAGCAATTTATTAATCAACCGCAACGAAATATCAAACTAAACTGACAAAATTGACAACTGTTCGGTTACTCATACGGTATGTAGGTACACGATGGATATACCCCGCAACTAAATAGATATATTTATCTATATTAACAATATCGGATCGGATGTATATAGTCTAACGAGTAAAACTCGACACACCAGATAATTAAGATAAAAGCAATAGACAGTATAATATCTATTCGATTTATTTTATATTGCCGATATTGGTATTAATTTCGTCAGGTAAATCATTTGTGATTTTACATGTGTGTATTACTGTATTATATCGTATTTTTATTGTACCTAATTATATCTATATATGTATAGGTACCGGATTTTTTTACCTCGGACTTTTTGGTAGTATACTGGTTTGAAGTATTTTGCTGTGTTATCTTTATAGTTGAACACACTTTGTATAATAGGTATATACGAATATAATATTATGTATTCCTAATTATATTTATCCATATCTATATATTCTATATAATATGCAGTACGATTTCGATCACAGAATGGGATCGATTCACTTTAGACATTATTTCGGCGGCCAATAAAGTACTAGTGGACGGAAGACCTATTCGTGCATTTTTTGACAAGTGTCTAAATAAAATAATCAACGATCTGGTATGCCAATCGGACGCAGTCAACTTAGCGTTTAAGCTGCGAGTGGAAGAATACCTTGAAGTGATTGAAAAGTTGAACAAACAAAAAGACGAAGTATGTTTCTGAACACACTAAATGTGTATACCTATATTCTTAATTGTTTATAATGTATGATGATATGATTACCTTGGTTAGAAATATGAGCCCATAATGTGTTTCTTACGGACAATTACTTTTTTGTTTACCATATTATATACTTATATTTTGATACATTTAAAGTATCTATTACGCTTATGAAGTATATTAGGTAGGTAGGCACTAGGCACCTTTGTAGGTAATGCATTTCGCCCGATGCAGTGGCGTATCAAGGAGGGTTTGGATGTTTAACCCCATTCCCTGTCGAAAATTTTTCCCCTAATAAATGTWTTATTCATATTATTTATACACAATCCTTGATATGTCTCGGCGTGGTACAAATAAGATTGGGGATTCAAACTCAACAAATCTAAATTCATCCACTGCACATTCACAATGAGACCCATAAACTGTCTTGCATCACACAAATGTTGAATAGTTTCTACAATTAAGCCAACTATTAGCGGTGGGCATATCCGGATTTCAAAAATCCGAATTATTTGGATTTGTCAAATCTGGATTTAGTAAATCCGAATTACAYGGATTATTCAACTTGGTTTTGCTGTTCAAATGTTCAATGGCTCATTTTTATATACCTACTAATAATATTTTAATTCTATAACATAATTTTCGGATTTAGGTATATGAAGTTTTGAATGCATTTTAAGTACCAGTGATATCATAAAACTCAAGTATTAATTTATTGTTAAATTTTCATTATAATAAAATAATTTATTTTACCATACATTAAAAATAATTGTAAGTCACATAATAAGCAAATAAGAATTTGATTCAAATCTGGATTTGGGTATCCGGGTACTCGGATAATTCAGATACAGTAAAACCTCTCTATAACGGAATCCTCCTTATAACGAACGGAAAATGTCAATAGTCCTGGTGCAAATTATATATTCAATTTCTACCTCTCTATGGCGGAAAACTCTATAACAGATAAATGTTTCGTCCCAAGCGTTCATCTGTTATAGAGAGGTTTTACTGTATTCGGATTTCATGCCCATCCCTATCAACCATGCACTTTTATGTACGCCTCCGTCTATTATGCTTATTGTAAAAATAAAAATAAATATGATAAAAAAAATATATATTATTTATATAGGTACATAAATTGTAAAAACTTAGTTTAATTTATACTTAACCCCCACACATCCCCACTTCAAATCTTGACTGTGCCACTAGATCTATGTGTACCTTTATATAACATACATACAGGTCATACAACGTTTCAATTAATTTGTTTGTTTATCCAACTGTTTTTAAAAAGGAAAAAATCCTATGAATGGTTCAATATTGGTTGAGTGGAGTGAAATGGCAAAATGGGAATATCACGCAAAAATTATGACTCGAAAACCATTATTTTTACTCATTTCATTTAAACTTTATATTTATAATATTATTGCCTATTGGTAAAAAAAAAAATACCTATTAATTAATACTTCGATAAATACATACTACGATATTTCGATATTGCTATAGGTCCTAGGTAACATAATATACATCAACATTTTTAGATAAGATTACTGCTTCCTGCTTTTATAAAATCAAAAATATATATATTGTCTTTAAAAAAAAAGTTTTCAGACTTCGAAAAGAATTCACTTAAATTTGCCATAATCCTTCATTCCTGACACCGTAAAAAAGCTCATCTTTGTATCATATTGCCTTCACTTATACTACGTACATAAACCTATATGTATATATAGGAATACAGCAGTATTGTATTATACAGGGTGTCCCAAAGAGATCTGACATTCTGACAAATGAAATAACTTTTGTTCTAATCAATATTTTTAAAAAATGTCTTTTAAATATAATCCATAGACWCTTGCGCTACRTTTTTAGAATACATTTTTTATTTTTTAATACTGAAAATAAAAAACTTAAAATTAATAAATTTTTTTTTCGAAATATTCAATATAGCCAATTTGTAAATTTGATTTTCAGAAAAATTTATATGGTAA